ATGTCCTTCAAAATAGAATAAACAAAAATATTTACGAAACATGCCCTTTTGATTTTCAGAAAAAAACGGTGAATATAAACCAAGATGCTTTTGACTTAAATATCGACTTAATTCTTTTCCATCGCTATTTTCAATGGAATAAAAAAATCTAAAATCTTTTGGAGGAGTCCAATAGGTTTTTAAAAGATTACATATAACACATATGATCATCAATACATTGTGTTCAGAAATAAACCTATGTCGTAATTAATTTTCATGAATTTTGAAGGTGCTGGATTCATGTAATTTTGTTTTTCCTTTTTCCTAATTAATTCAGTTGATTCAGAAGAATAAAACACCAATACCACTGTATCACTAGAAATTTCCACAGTTTTATTTTATTTTTTTGAATAATTTCAGAATACTGCTTGTTTTTTTTTTTTTTTGTCCAATTTCAAATTGTATGAAAAAGTATTTTTATTAATTAAAATAGTATAATTACCAAGTATTAAGTTCAAAGATGAAATAACACCAGACACATAGACCTGTTCACTCCTGCGACCACGAAGAACAAATAACATATTGGTTGTCACATAATTGTCTGCTTGTCGTCATCGTCGTCGTTAGAGAATAAAACCGTAACATCATTTCAATATAATGGACAGTGCTCGCATGAACGTATATAATACGTAGTATTTATAAATATTTTATTTTTGTAAATTTTTGAATTTATAATCCAATACACTATACAGAACATGTATATTTCTCTCACGATATATAAACGTGTTTCAGGAACTCCATCTACAGACACTCTTATCTAATGCTAACAAACCAAAACTAAATGATTAAACGAAACAAATTCGTTCTTCAACGGCTTCATCCTTAATAGCCTATTGACAGAAATTTCAATACTAATATTTTTAATATTATTTGTTGATAATGATAGTAGCACTTACCCTCAGTGCTCCCCCCCCCCCATTCCCTAAATCCATCCTTAAGACAAGACCTCCTCATATCTCGTTCGTTGTCTTGGTTGCCCGGTGTAGACGATGGACGTTCTACCTACTGTTATTATTCTGTATACCCACCCTGTTGAGCAATATCGTGTCATTCCGATGTGGACTCGTTTTCTTCGCGGCACATTTAAAAGTGACGGCCACTATTGCGAGAACACTTTGGGGAATTGCGCGATCGTCCTCTTATTACGGCCCTTAATTGTTTGTACATAATCTGACGACTATTTAAGCTGCCTTAATTCCATTGTGACGCTACATGCGTCTGTTCAATTTATAATACAGGGAAGGACAGAATCCGTAACACTACTACTGATTAAACTAAGGACAATTTTAATACTTTCTATTTGTTTTATTATAACATATAACAAATTGTATGTACCTATTAAGACTTTAAAATATACCAGCATATGACATAATTTTAAGAAAAGTAGTACTTTAAATAACATCATTTAACGATTTAACAAAAATACCTATCAAACATCTATTATTACGCATAGGTAATTTATAATTGTTTCGTTATTTTTTTTTCAGGTTATTATGGTAAGCCACGAAAGATTTATTAACTGTAACCGATTGTATAATTTTTTGTTTACTAAAAAATTAAATATTCTATAACATGATACCTACCTAATTTTGTAATAATTAAATACATAATATTATATACTTAAGGTTAGCAAAGTCAACTTAGTCGTAGGTACCAAGTTTTGGAAATATCATGGGGGGCTAAGTACCCATTTTTTTTTTAAATAATTTTATTTTTAATAAATATTTAATTTTAATATTATAATTTATAATATAAATTTATTTATTTATTTATTCAATTAAAAATGATCATAAAACATTCAGGTACTTCAAAAATTATTTATTAGAATTAGATACATTATTATTATATTTTACCATAGGTTACACATAAAACATATACATAAGAAAATAATCAAAAGTAGATAGTACTTTCACCCACAAAAATTGGGATGACAAAAAATAACATAAATATAAAATTGCAAAACTGCTTGTTTGTAGAATTTTCTTTAAAACAAATGTCGAAAAAAGTTAATACTTTCCGAGATAATGAGTGTCTTACGATAGATTGATCACATTGTATACTATTAGTTCGAACTCAACAAATATACAAAAATACGGTAACACAAATATTTACCCCTGCAGAATTAAAATATCCGCTCCTAGGGCCGTCCAAATTAGGAATCCCTAGGACTCCCAAATGAAAAATCCCAGAAACCGTCGTATAGGGAATCTTAGAGACTACTGGATAGGAATAATTCTCAGGGACTAGTAGGATAGGAAATTTGCTTACAAAACACACACACACACAACTGTATAATGCAATTAAATGTAACTTAATATAATTAAATACATAATATTATAAAAATATATTACATTTCAGGAAAAATCCGCGGTGGTAAGATAACAATTTGTTTATTAATATTTGAACCAATCACAACATAGGACGGCAAAACTTTTAACTGTGATTTTTTTGTCACAGTAGCATATTATTCACAGTGTGATAAATATTTTGCACAATTTAACATCATTAGTTGTAGTGTGGATGGTTAAAGGCAAAAGGGCAACAGGACAATTATTTATAATTTCAATAATCTATGATGGATCATGACAAAAGTTATTTATCATGCCTATGAGGGCATTTATTATGTAAGAATGTGTGTGGCCGGTTTTCTGATATAAGCATTACTACCGTTCCGGGTGTTCTTGGTGCCAACGACTAATATTGTTTTCAGATTCTTATAATCATAGTCAAGAAGTATGCGACAGTAAGTTAAAATATAAGTAACAGCATAAACTTTAATAATATTATTATCCTAAATTATATCCTTGGATTATTCAAACACTTTTGACTCATTATAGAATTATTTTTTTCTTTTAAATTAGATATTATATTTTGGAAGGAAATAAGATTTGACTTTTTTATCTTATCTATTTGATAATTTAAAATAAAACAAATATTTGTACCAAGTAGGTATTAATAGAAATACACATGTAATAATTGTTTAATATCCTAGTGTCATTTTTGTATATGAAAGTATACTTAATTGTAAATTAATACACAATAAGCGGCTAAAACTACGTGATTATTTTAATCGATTAATCAACGATAATATGATAATACTATAATAGGTTTAATAGTTAACTGTTATTGTTAAACATAGGTAGTATCTAATATATATAGGTAGATATTGGATACCTATTGATTTATTCAATCAATACTATATAGTATCAGTTTATCATAGACCACAGGAGGTAATCGAAGAAATATATGTAGTTTCCAGTATCTAATAAAATTCAATATACTTTTTTTTAGTATAGCTATTAGCTAACAATAGGTACTTACCTTGTTTTTTGTGACACACATGGATGACGTGGATGAGATAAAACTTTAAAAGCCTATAAAGATTATTATCTGTGACGTACTTGTATTTAAATATTATCTTGTTCATTTCTATTAACAAAAAGCAATACCCTGTAAAATATAGAGCAATGATTTGTATTTATTCAGTATAATTATATATTTATGTCAAACAGTTTTAAGAAGAAAATAAATTTGTTTGTTTATTTATTTACTACACAGACAAGGCTCAAATCCTTACAATGCTATTCAGTCTTCAATTAAATCATTAGTTTATAAATATCCAGCGTAAACATGAATTTAACATTTTAACCCGAAATGTTAAACTTATATTATAAAAATTGTGATTAGAAGTAATATTTGCACAACAATGATCATACTTTATTGTGTTATTCACTATTTTGATAATGGTATAGTGTGTCGTTTTCATTACATACAACGCGTGTCGTGAGCTAACAATCCTAAATTGAGTTATTTAATTAATTAATTAATTAATTAAAACTTTTTATAATTTTAAATAATACAATTTTAGATTTATTGAAAGCCAAAAATGCAATAAATTACTAATATTTGAAGGTTATTCATTCAGTATACGCCGAAAGAGTGAACAAATAATAGTTTAGCGTTGCACTGATAACAAAAGTAAAAATTATTTGACAAGATAGACCATAGACGACTTGTTTCTAATTTTTGACAAGAAATATGTTTTTAATTTATTTGTTTGTGTTCTATAAATGTAAATAAAGGTTAGAATTTTGAATTAATATTTACGCGAGATATTTTGTCATGGAATATTTTAATTGCGATATTTTGATTTTGGGATATTTTGTCGCGGATTTTTTTATTATTATTAGATTTATAATCTCTAATATCTACGTCTTGCAATAATAATAATCACAGAATAAATCTTGTGATAATTCCTCTGCCAGAGTCTTAGTCCGCACTATTCGGACAGGATCCTCTCTGATGAGCAGTCGATCTGCACTCGTAACAGTCGTAACACGCTATTTTTTCCCCTTTCCGGTTTTGGACACTGAGGAGATATGTGTGACCTTGAACCACAAACATGACATTAAACTTTCTTCACACCTAACAGCCGTTTTCCCATCTTTCAATGGTATTGCTGGAATACCGACTGGATAGTTTTGCCGGGACGTGGTATATTTCTGTGAACTGTCCCTAATTCCGGCCCCGGTTTCAACCGTCTGGCGAATACGCATTGAAAGGGATCTATCCAGGCGTTCATATTCAATCATATCCCCGAGGAACTCATCTTCATCCGCATGATTTCGACCTAACAAATAAATACTCAATTCCTTCGATAATAATCCTACTCACAATTTGTTAGAATTTGTAAGTAGAACCGAGTTGAACAGCCATAGTGTCACAGGGAATTCCTATAATAATTTTAAATACCTCTTGGATCTTAGTTTTGAACATTGAATAAAAATAAATATTGAATATTTTTTTAAATAATTTTTCATTTTATGTTACCAATGGCATGTAAATCTGGGAATAAGATATAGGTCTGTAATAGTAATAAGCAATAGTCTGTGTGTAAAATACAACTTGTTTTCTTCTAGAATATTTTTCTTTTACTTTAATTCAAATTTAATCTAATGATAATGTATGGGATAAATTTTTCATCATTTTCTCTAGTCCCAACAGATAACCTAACCAAGCCCATGCACAGAGGTAACATTACAATTAATCAAATAACTAATAAATTATGATCAATTTAAAATAGTGGAATAATCGACACTACTTTAGTAAAATAATATTCGCACAGCCCTTACAGCTATATAGGTACTTTTTAAACATTTTCGAATTTTTTGCCAGTTAGTAAAACCGATTTCTTATTCGCTGGTAGGTAAACTATCAAGTACCAACACAATAATTCAAATACTTCAAGCTTCACATACCGTGAACCAAAAACTAAACAATAAATACAACGTTCCTTTCTGCAATGAAAAACTAAAATTAAATTACATTTATTTGTCCAGTGACTGTAAAGAATAAAGACGAAGATTATGAACAATATGTTAATGAAATATTGGAACATTGTAAGTATTTAAAATATATATTTGTGTTCTTTGATATTTCAAAAAGTATGTAAACAATGAAATATTCAAAATATTTTATGGATATAGAACTATTTTATACTACGCGTTTCCAATTTATATCTATTATATTATCATATGTATACAATTATAAGCATTTGTGAACATAAGTGATACATACGACTTAAATATATATAATATACTTATTGGCAAGTTATAGCATATTTTGTGTTTAATTTAAAAAAGGCGTCCTAGTATAACGGAGACGGAAGCAGCCACTTTTATAGATAATTTAATGTATACCTGAAAGCAACGATAAACCATTGCTTACGGAAAAACGATTCTGAGCGGAGTTCAGTTGATAGTGATGCTTTGTCAACAATATATATGCCATATTATTTTAAAATAATTATGGTCTCTATATATTTTCTTTAATATTTGTTTTAAGTTATACCGATTTCTCCGGTTTCCCTACGTTTTTCTGGTTTTCCCATGTTTTTTCCCAGTTTTTCACATTTGCTAAAAAAATTCAGGAGAACATCGATAAACGATCTCTCTAAAGTACCTCTACAGTGAAATTTTCTTTTAGAAAAATTGTTATCATTATAAGTTAAAATAAAATTGCTGGTATAAAAGTTGTCCACAGGAAAAAAGAAGGCCATAATATTTTTAGCTAATACCTAAATTTCTTATATTTTCCCGATTTTTCTCAACTATTGAGAAAATCGAAAAATGGCCTCTCTAAGGTACCTCCTCACACCGATTTCCTTTCAGAAAAGGTGTTACACTTAAAAATTGGAGCAAGTCCTCTGGTAGAAAACTTACTCACAGAAAAAAAAAACATCATCTTTTTAAAACCATAAGCTTCACTCAGAATCTAAAATACAAATGTATATTGTAAATTTCAAACATATATTCTCCCTATATTTAGCATACATACCATTGAGCAGAGATTTATGGGAGAAAGAATGGACCAACCAACCCAAAGGACATGAACCTTGTACAAGTAAATAATACATTTTTAAGTAATATTATTTAACATTCTAATTTTAACTTTTACTAATACTATGATCTAATTGTAGTCTTAGTTTTCCTTTGAGTGAACAATATACAAAAATACAATGTAGGTTGTATATTTGTACACGCATATTACTTCTAGTTGTAAAATGTAAAAATATTATTTATCTAAACCAGATAATATAATACAATAAAATAAATACAAATATTAAAGTTTTTTGGTTTATAGACGAGAATCCACTAGTGCAATGAGCTTGAATTTAGGAAATATCAAATAACTTATAAATATTATTATTAATTAATCCTAAATATAATATTGTTTAATAGATAATACTTATATAATATTTGTCATATTTAAGTATTGTATTTAGATATTAATTATTAAAACATTTGTTTTTTAAACTCTGACATTAAATTTGTTTAAAGTTATAAGTTGTTGCTTAAAAGACAAAAATAATAATTATTTATTGAATACATAATATGAAAAATATAATTTACAAAAATTAACTGAAAACTTTATTAATTTACTTTTTTTTGTTATATAAATGACCAACTACTATATTCTATAAGCTGAGTTGGGCTAATTATAATATTCCATCAATATTTCCTTTTAACTACACAATAAACTAGTATATTCCTTACCGTTTAAAGGTTGTGTTCGGTGTCTCTGGCTAAAAATTCTAATATTGTAATACTAGTTTTGATATATTCTTTACACATTCTTACTTATACATGGCAACTTTATGGTGTTATCCTTAAAACATATTAAAATAGTAACATTAACTAATATACTTATAAGGAAAACATATACATTTATATTACACACATCTGTGAATAAAATACAAAATCTCTGCATGGCAATATAATGTATAATTTGATAGTTATACAAATGATTTACAAATATTTTACGCCAACACAATTCATTACCTAATAAATTTAACACATCATACACATAACATTAATATAATAATTAAAATACAAATACATATACACTGTAAATACAAATTAGGGAACATTTAGGCGGGGAGTTTACACAATTTGTATAATTATATTGTATACAATCTACATCATAATATTCTATACATAAATATTCAAATAATTGTAAATTAATGATAAAACCACAATGATATTAGAATATAAAAAACTCACGATGAATGGGCCACTGGTATGGGTACAAAGTTGAAAAGATAGAGGGAAGAATGGATGTATTTCTATACATAACGATTATCATTGCTAACAAAAAAAGATTCTGAGCGAAATTTGGTTACACGTGTTTTGAAAGGCCGTAATCTTTACAAATTTCAAATAATATATGTAATACATTTTCTAGTTAACGTACGTTTTTTTCCATTTATTATGAAAACTCATAAGAAAACCTCTTCCATATACCACCCGTCAGGTTTCTTTACTGAATAACTGCTACACTTAAAAATCAGAACAAAATTACCGGTTGAAAAGTTGTTCACAGAAAAAATAATAATAATAAATAAATAAAGCATATTGTAAAATCAATAAATTCCTCGATCCGATTAGAAACCTAAAATACCAACATTAAATTATGACTGGTTTCAAAAAATTAAGTAGTTAAATGTTGTTAATTAACGGAGTAAGAACACAAAGCATTTTGACGGTAGTGAACTGTAACCATGCTAATATTATAAATATCAAATCATTATTTCAGTAATGCAACATTGTAAGTCTATAATTCTCACTTACACAGTAATATAATATACCATATTTAAATTTTCATAGAAATTTGAAATTATTATTTGTATACATCAAGATAGGTACACATTCTGATTAAATGAAAAAATTCTACGTATCAAGTTGTAGTATTAATATTATAGCCTGCTGTACAAATGATGTGTGTAATAAATCGCGGGATATTCAAACCATATGGCCATGGTACATACCTATCCATTGCTATTTGGTAAAGACCAGTTACGTCCTTAGAGTAAAAATACAAGGATGTAGTTAAATTGGGTCCCGGCTATAAACTCACTTACCTACCTATATAACCTACCGGGAGCATATATGAGTACGACGTCTGAACACCAATAAATTCTAAGCACCGATAGATAAACAAACATTACAAACTAATAATAATGATTAGTATGTATGTAGTATAATAATGATAATATATATTATATACACTATATATATATATATTTAATATAATGTATATTTTACTAGCTGTATGTGTAATATTATTTTATATTTCACTCGGTTTATTATTTATTCAAGTTACCAACCTTTAAATTTATTTTTATTTCATCCGTGTTACTATGATAATCCATAAAAATAAATAAATACCTTTTATATATTTTTATGTGCGTATTCGACAATTATTTTAAAAATTAATAACTCAATTGTTAATACGTATTGGCGATGAATTATTATTATTAATTAAAACGATTTGGTGTTGTTTATGGGCTGGTGGAATCATCGGTCCATATTTCTTCAGAAATGAAGCTGGCCAAAACGTAACTGTGAATGGTGCCCGTTATCTTGACATAATAAGAGACTTTTTGCTGCCTAAAATTGAAACCCTGGATCTTGATGAAATTTGGTTTCAATAAGATAGAGCTACTTGTCATACAGAACGTAAAACCAAGTCTTTATTGCGGAAACAATTGATTTCACGATTCGGACCGACTAACTGGCCGCCTAGATTATGCGATATCACGCCTCTAGACTTATTTCTTTGGGACTACGTGAAGTCCAAAGTCTACATAGCCAAACCGGTTACAATAGATGAATTGGAAGCCAACATCAAACACGCCATTGGCCAAATACCAGTCGAAATGCTTGGACGGGTCATTGGAAATTGATTCATTATTAAGGAACGCGCCGGACAAGACGGTTGTTGACGAGAAGTAAGGAGAAAGAAAAAATAACAGTAATTGGTATAATAGAATAAGAGGTCAACTAGGCAGAGTAAACTATACTCTACTCTACTCTACTCTACTTTACTCTACTTTGTTCTTTCGCCATGATTAGATTTCTTGCGTTATCGAATATAACTGTTTGTCGGTTTGAATACCCGAACTAAAAAGCAAAAATTATTTAGAAGTCTACTTAACTAACGTACACATTGAATTGTGAATGTGCGCATGATAACACAAAATAAAATTTAAAAACGAAGAATACGAGAGCTTACTACTCAAGTTCGTTAACAAAATCAAATATATGATTATCACTAATTCAAGAAAATTTTCATAAATCGCTTTAGAAAAATAATCAAAAAAACTTTTTTTTTATGAGCAAGAAGTAACTGAAAGAAGCCCACTTAAAAAAAAAAATAAAAAATACATTGATAAAAGAATTCTTAAGTCGATGTCTAATTATAATAAAAGTACAATTATATTGTTTTTAAGAGAACTGGTAAATAATGTTTCATTAGAATAATTATTTTTCATTATAATATATTTTTTAATTAAATTTGTGTGCTTAATTTTAAATGTACTTTTAATTTTTATATTTAACAATTTTTTTTTTCCATCAAAGAAACTAAACAAATATACAATATTAAACATAAATACTACGAGATGAATGTTATGATTTTCAATAAATAATTTGTAGGTAAACTAACTGATCAGTTGGTGAAGGTGGGACGCCAAAACATCCCAGACCAGATAACTACAGGCCTTTAGCAGCTACATATGAATATCATCATAGATATGTCTATTCACATGTAGCTTATTACATACAAGGCCAAAGGCGTTTAGCAAACGTCTCATAAAACACCGGTCAAGCCGCTGGGCTGGGCACCAGGAACATAATCTCCTAGTTTTTACAATAACACGTTTTTTCCAAATGCATTTAGCTGGAACTTTTGGATCGGGGTTTCATAATATAAAAAAAACCCGTCGAAAGAGCTTAGACAGTCGAAAATGTTATAACAGAAAACAGGGTTCATTCTGACAAAAAATAGTAAATGTAATGAATTTTCTGAAACCAAAAAATCAAAAGAGAAATGGATTTGTGGGTTTGGTAAGATTTTAAAAGAAGTTTATCAACTGAGTCCATTAATGTACTCGTTCATTCTTCTTATTTCGACATAATTGTACCATCAATAACGAAAACGGCGTATTTTCGATTTACGGAAACCAATCACGCTTTGTTATACTTATAAATTGTTTAAAAAAAGAACCTGATTGTATAACAGTAATATAATATTTTATTACATGATCATGGCGTTTAATCAGTAAATAGTACATTTCTGGTTCGTCGATGAGCAGAGCGATAGCGGCTGAGCGCATTAAACCTGAGGTTTAGTTGGGTATTATTTATTAAAATGTATGACAATTAAATTTGGTTTTTAACTTATGCAATTATAATATAATAAGCAAATAGTATAAAACACACAGCCTACTTACCTATCGTGACACAAAGAATTAAGAATGTCAAATACATTTAGAACAAATCAAGAACTCAGGGACGAAAGTGATACATATAAATTCAAATTAGAGCGCTGAGGAAGTTTTCGATTGTCAAAATCGATACATATTCATCTTTAAGTGATACGTATAAACTTGTACTAAGATTAGACTTTAGAACGCACCAAACAGTATAAGTTTTTTACCGTAGATAGAAAGAATATTAGCAGTCATCCTGATTTCTTGAATATTTGTATGTAAAATTGATCAGCAGTATTTAAAATACTCTGCCTACATACTTAACGTGCACAATGAATATGTGAAAGTATAATATTTTTTATATTTTTAAATTATCAAAATATAATTTATTTAATAAAGTAAATTGCGACACAAATTAATACAATGTTTGGGCGGAAGTTGACCAGTTGCCCTCTGAGCATGTAACTGGTTATATTTCAACCAAATATACAACTATAAAGTTTATTAGTCTATTAGCCCTCAACCAAATGTATCAATTGCCCCAGCCGCATAAAATAGCTCATATATTCGTATAATACAAGGATAAAAAATTTTCCAAATTGGATAATTCCAGATATCAGAGAAAATTGTGTACAATAATGACAAGTAATAGTTCTCAATAACCGGAATTGGACTTTGACGTAAAGCCGGGAACCAATTTTATAATTGGAAACAATTTGATAAGCCATATTTCGATAAACATCGATAAGTTATATCATCAAAATAATATAAAATGTATATTTCTAGCGCCAAACAGCACAAATTTAACACAGCCTTTAGAGGTTTGCTTTTTCCGCCCTATAAAAATAGCATGGCATAAAATATTAAAAATATATAAGTTTAAAAAAAAGATGGCCATTTACGAAAAATATGTCTTGTAGTTTTAAAAAAACATTAGAAAAACTTCAAGTAAATTAATATTTCTACGCGACTAAATGTGAAATCGATCGTCTCATTAAGTGTACGCACATAAGGGCCATTAATAATAATATAATACGGGTGTGGTAAATCGACGACGTTCCCCAAAAGGAAAACGTGTCCGAGTACGGATAACATGCCACCAGGAGACAACCACGGTGGCGTCCACCATCATCAAGGCCTCGAACAAGGCGACAATGATATACAAGACGTCCGGGAGGACCACAAGTTAGCTTCAGTCAGTCAGCTCAGAACGGAGGGTATACCTACACCACCACTGAAGCACGAGAAAGAGGAACACCATCATCTTGACGGCAACCCGTTCAATCATTTCTATAGTGTACTTATAACTGATAAATACAACTAAGTCTTGACCCGGGTCTGGTGTCACAACGGCATCACTCATAATTATCAATTGTCAACCGAGTTTATTTAAAATATTAATAAAAACTCTTTGTAGACTTGTTCACACCCGTCCGAAGGCTGTGTCCGAACGGCCCGTAACAATTTTATGAACCCCTGGTATAATAATATATAGTAATAAAATATATAGCAGGGGTGGCCACAACGAGGCTCGCGAGCCGCATGCGGCTCTTGAATTAAATTTAGACTAAACTTAATAAATATAAAATTTGTTAGAATCGTTAGAAACGTTAGATAGTATTTAATATATAGTATATATTAAATACTACTGACTCGGGAATTTTTAACATCGGCCTCTGTAACCATTGCTCGTTGACGACAGCCGCGTTAGTAGTGTTAGTGATTCAGTTAATCTACGAAGTATGTAAACATCCATATAAACCAGTGTTTCCCAAAGTGGGCGATATCGCCCCCTTGGGGGCACTAGAGCTATCCAGGGGGGCAATGGAAGTTACAAGCTTAATTGGGGGGCATTTCATTACAAAAAGGGGGCGGTGATAGTTTCATCTGTCGTTATCGCAATAACAGAAACACCGTACGTGATCCAAATTATCTGAATTGTGTATTTTGTATTTTTAGATTAATTGTTCGTCGTCCATCGACAATCGTCGATAATCTGTCGTTATAGCGATAACAGAAACAACGTACGTGATCTAAATTATCTAAATTATTTTTGTATTCAGTACACTCGCGAATGCCCACCTTATTCATTGTTGTTTTTATAATAATTTTCGTTAATTTGTTGCGTATTATTTTATTTAAATTTTAAACGTTTTTCACATCATGGCTGAATCGAAGAAAAATGTAGGCAGTATAATATTGAATATTTGAAGTACAGTTTTATTCAATCGCCTACAAATATTACATTACCAATGTGTCTCATTTGCCAAAAAGTATTTTCAAATGAAGCTATGAAACCGTCGAGACTGCAAGAACATTTTACATAAGTTCATGCTAATAAAAAAAATATGGATTTATTTTATTTTGAAACACTTGAAAAGAAATTTTTGAAAAAGCCGACATTGGTCAATATGTTTTCAACAACATTGAAACAAGACGATAACGGATTGCAAGCTTCGTACATTTCTCTGCTGATTGCCAAATCCGGTAAACCGCATACTATTGGCAAAGAACTTATTTTACCAGCTATGAACGAGGTAATAAACACAGTGCTGCATAAACCAGCTTTTGAGATTATTAAAAAAATTCCGTTGAGCAATAATACAATGCAAAGGAGAATTGATGAAATGGCTTAATCTGTCAAAGAATTATTATGAGTTTTTAAAAGCCACCAAATTTTCTATACAGCTTGATGAATCAACTTTACCAGATAATAAAGCCTTATTATTAGCTAAAAATTTGATGACTGACACTAAAAGAGAATCAATATATCACACATTGGAAGAGTATTTTAAAGAAAAAGAAATTCCTATGTGTAATATCTTATCAGTTGCGACCGATGGTGCTCCAGCCATGGTAGGATGCCATCGAGGTTTTATTGCATATTTGAAAAAAACTGTACCAAATGTACTCACTATACATTGTGTCATTCATCGACAACATTTAGTTGCCAAAAATTTAAGTGAATGCTTACATAAGTCATTACATTATGTAATTTCAGCTATCAATAAAATCAAAAATAATTCATTGAATGATAGATTGTTTGGACTACTTTGTACTGAAAATGATGAAGATTTCAATCAATTATTATTTCACACAGAAGTTCGTTGGTTGTTGAGGGGTGCCTGTTTAGACAGATTCTAAAAGTTGTTTGACTCAGTGCTTGAGTTTTTAAAAACTGAAGATGATATTTTACGAGGCAACTTAATTAACTATAGAAGTGACATTGCTTATCTGACTGAACTGTTTAAAAAATTTAATGAAACAAATTTGCAGCTTCAAGGTAATGATTTAAATTTAATCAAAACAAAAAATATTATTTTTGCATTTTTATTAAAACTTCTTATGTACAAAAGAAATTTAGGATGAAAAGAATTTATACAGTTTCCAAATCTATCAATGGAAGAAAAAAATGATAAAGATTTAATGACATATTGTCAACACCTGGAATTCCCATTCCCATTTCAACAAACGATTTGAGGATATTCTTAAAATGGACATACCCAAATGGGTTTTANTTTTATTAAAACTTCTTATGTACAAAAGAAATTTAGGATGAAAAGAATTTATACAGTTTCCAAATCTATCAATGGAAGAAAAAAATGATGAAGATTTAATGACATATTGTCAACACCTGGAAGCACTACATTCCGATTTCAACAAACGATTTGAGGATATTCTTAAAATGGACATACTCAAATGGGTTTTAGATCCATTTTCAAATACAGAAACCATAGATTCTGCAAAATTAGAAGAAGAATTGATAGAAGTAACTACAAATAAGGAATTAAAATTAAAGTTTAAGGAAGGTTACTAAGTATTCTGGCTAAAAAAGCAGATACCTATACTTTATCCTGGATTGTGAGCTATTGTACAAACATTTTTGATCGCATTTCCATCTTCCTACTTGGTTGAACGTGGATTTAGTGCAGTAACCAATCTATTCACTAAAAAAAGACAACGGTTACAAATAACTAATCGTGGGGACTTAAGAATACTGCTTACGAAAATCGAACCTAATATCAACGAACTTCTAGTAAAACACCAACCACATCCATCTCATTAAGATATTTTTTTTCATTTGTACCAATACATTATATATATACCTATTTATAAACAATACACTTCATTTTTCATTGCATACTTTTGTAACAATATTTTTTTTAAGGGGGGCGTCATGCGGATATTTTTTTTCATTTGTACCAATACATTATATATATATATACCTATTTATAAACAATACATTTTATTTTTCATTGCATACTTTTGTAACAATATTTTTTTTAAGGGGGGCATCTGTCGGATTTTTTTTTGGAAGTGGGCGGTAAAGATAAAAAGTTTGGGAAACACTGATATAAACTTTTAAAAATTGAATGGTCGCCCATGCAAAAAATTATTTTTCAACTGTCATTTAAGGTAAAACAATTGTATAATTTATTTCAACTCTCTACTTGTACATATAAAACAAAATGTATGGAATATGAAATTCCAAAACATTTGAGGTGGTTCAATATAGACTACTCTCCCCTACTCTGGTTAAATAAATACATATCAAAGTCCTAATTATAACCAATATTTTAAAATAAACTGTATTTTAATCTGATAAAGAATTATTTTTTTATAGTAACACAAATAATAACTTTCTATTATTGTTGTTAAAATAATACACTAAAATGTCATGGCAAATTGCTTTATGTCTAATATAATTTTTTTTTCTTTTTTGGAGATGCAAGATGTTGATACAATGACAATATGAACAAATACCATGTATCTCTACTATTACTATCTGAATATTAAAGAAAATACTTCTAAGTCCTAATTATAATTATTGACAATATTATTTGAGTTTTTATAAAAACTCTTTAGTACCAAAATCTCCAAAATATATACAGATATGAATAATAAATGAAACTCTAAATCTTTGGTTAAGCAAATTTTAGATTTAGTTTTTTCTGGTTTGAGGATATGGCTATTTAAGTGTTTGTTAGTTCACTGAAAATTCTTACAAAAAAGGAATAAATTGATACAATAACTATAAATTTGATTTAAAGTTAAAAAAAAATTAGGTCACAGTTCACTATCCAATCCAAGTACATAAATTATTTTCATTAGATTAAATCCCAGAATTTTTTTTTTTTTTTTAATATACAATATACTAGAACCAATCCCCTAGAACACAATACCAATATAAGAGTTAAATCAATTACAATAATCCATACGACAGAAGAAACCAATTGGAGGTGAAAATATTTTGGAATTATTTTTCAAATCATTAATAACTTCAAATATATACAATAATTGCTATCCAAAAATATTATTTAAATGTGGGTAATTAAAAAAAAATAAAATCTTAAATTTAAATAAAAACCTTACTTCACCGGATTAAGATTTTGACAGCGTATTTGAATATGTAATTGAACAGTTTTGATTTAGCTGGCCACGAACTTGGTTTCATGTTGAAAAGTTTAGTTCATAGAACCCAATAACAGTGTTTGTGACAAAAGTACCAGGTGAAATTTACAATACTATAGAATTTAACTTCTATTACTAAAACAATAATATAATTTGGAAGTATTTAAAGGTTTTCAAAATATTATAAGATGTAAAATGTTTGAATTATTTGTCTTACTTTTTCCAACTTGTTGGCGATTGATTGCAAGCACATCAATTGTCTTGTCACATGAGGACATAGGCATGTTGCTAAAAGATAAAAATAACATTAAGTGAGTGAAGAGTTAATGAGTAGCTTAGTACTAAAACAATTGTCCAACAAGTGACATATGGGTTTAATTCCAGGTCTGGTTGCATAATTTTTAGCACTTTTCCAACTAACATAAATTATTGTTAAAATATAATATTATAGTCATATAAAATAAATATGAAATATCTTAGTAAAATATTTTAATTAAAATTTAATTCCCTAAAATAATGTATATTGTTATAAATTACATTGGATTGACTGTTTTACTTTAATAGAAGAATTTATATAATATTTAGATAAAACTGTAATCAGTGTTTAGGTAATAGTCAAAAAGCGTAATATGAGGCTGTGCATCAAGTCGTTATATTTAAATTAATTTTGGCTTTGTGAAAAAATTGTAAAAATACCTGTCAAGAGGACAGGTACCTTGATGAAGACAAAAAATTCTTATTAACATAACACGAGAAAGGTAGAAAAATGTGTATGATTGGAATAGATAGAAAACTTGAAACACAATAAATATGGAAAAATCAACGTGAAATTGTGTTTCAAAATTATAAAAAAAATATGTAAAAAAGGGCAAGATGAACTATCAGCTCCTTGATTTATTTTCTCCTGGGACTTCTAGTAAAGAACAAGTTGGATTTTCATTAGAAACCACATCTACTTTGATTTTTAGAAAATGGGGAAGACAAACTATTATGAGTTCTGAAATTTTAACGACATTAGATCGTACTCAAATGATCAAAAAGCTGTTCATATTTTCATGGCCAGAGTCCAAAGTCTTGGCTGTAATGCAAACAACATCACTATAAATTGTTTAACTATTCGAAGAAATAGTTATTTTAGACAATAAGTTGTCGAGAACATAAACGCATCTTTTAATCCATCTGGAGACAGAGTAAGTAAGCTTCTCAATGTTCCAAAGCTTGAATCTGGAACTGGGGAAGCAATGTCAAATGCTATTATTAAATCATTATTGAAGCATAACAAATCGCGTACAATCATTATCACTTGACACAACAGCCAGTAATACAGGACACATAAATTTGATTAACTTACATAGTTAATTGAAGAAAATATTGGTAGAAAATCATTGTAGTTATCATAAATTATAAATAGTTTTAAGAGTTGTTTTTACTACGTATTATAACAGTCAGTTAACTGGGCCAAACATTCAAATATTTCTAATATTTCAACAGTAGTGGAAAAATATTTTAAATAAATAAATTTTTTTTTATTACCATGAAGTATGATTTATAATAAACCTCCTATCAAATTTTCAAGCATTTCTGTCAAGTCTAACAATTTATCTATACAGTATGTAACAAATAAAAACTACATTAAAAACTCGCAAAATTAAAATGACTATATTTTGTAAATTTGTCTAGTAATTTGCTGTAATACCTAGAATTTTCTTTTGGGTTTTTCCAATTATTTCAAATTCACTGAAAAAACGAAAAATGACCTTCCCAATGCACCAACTAGAGAAAATAACGTTTTAGGAAAAATGCTATAGACTATACTATGGAGCAAAGTAGAAGCTAGTTTAAAAGTTGTTCACAGACAGAAAAAAATACAAAAAATACATCATACTAAAATTAATAAATTTCTTTTGCTACGCTCTGAATCTAAAACCAAGTTTGATACTATGACACCTTTGATACCAGAGCTATTTTTTTACTAAACAGAATAAAAAAAAAAAAGAATGATTGGATATTAGTTACAAATTACATACAAATATTATACAATTTTCTAGAAACTCCAAACTTTTTAATTTAGTTTTGAATTCAAGTACTTGGTATCAAACTTTTAAATAATTCTGTTATTTGTATACTGTTATTAGTTTTAAATTAATAAACAATGCAAACATATTTTTATCTATACATTTATTGTGTTTTTTGTAGTTCTAAATGCATAATGTTTTTCTAGATCAATAATCAACTTTTTTAACTTTATGATTCAACATTGATTCTTTTAAGAATTTATTTTTATTTTCCCCAAATTAAAAACTATCAAAAAAAAGTACTAGACTAAAAAAAAAAAATATGCATTGTAAGGTTAAGCTTTTGTGCTATGATCCAAAGGGTAAGATAAAGTTGTTTAAGTAGTAATATACACATTTCCGTTGTAAACAGCGGTTGATGGTTTCCCACTTTGTTTGTCGTCAACCAACGACTCTCAATCATCTTTAAATCACTTCCATCATGTGTATGTAGTAGTACAAGATGTAGCTTCATCGCCAATGCTATATCATAGAACAGTGGTTTTCAAACTTTTTTTGACCTTCATACACTTTGCACTTTCAAAAAATTTTCACGGCACACTATGATTTTTTTTTTTTGGCTTTGTTTAATATGTTTTTGCACATAATTAGAACTAATAACAAAATTAATGAATCATAATCAAAATAGTTACAAATTCATATTTAACGAGCAGATCATTGTAACTGCTGATTGGTCACAACTTAAAGAAAACAAATTTCTGAAAACTGAGACATACCTAGTTAATGCTCGGCACCCAGTTTGAAAACCACTGTCATAGAATAAGTTTCTACAAAAGATTTACAAAAGAAACACAAAATTGTATTCAACTTCTTCTTTGTTCCATTTTACAAACTCTTCCAAGGTAATATGAACACACTATGCTGAACCAAATACAACTCAAGACTGAAGAAACCAAACATTTTGGTATTTTGTACACATACTTATTAGACTTTGTACTATGGTCAATTTGATGCAATAGTTGTACAATCGAAAACGGTTTATATATTTATTACAAAAATTTTATTCAGAAAAATTTCGGACATACTGTGTACATAAAGATAAAAGACAAAACAAACTTGCAAGTAGCATATAAACATTTGAAAGTCATAGAAATATTCACCAGTATATAATAACATCGAAATGAATTAGCGTAGGTATATCAAGAAATAAAAGGACAAAATTTATTAATGATATTATACTATACTATAATAGACTATAGTCTATTCGAACTATTCAAATCTAAATTATTATTCAGAGAATCAAAAATAATATTATATGTAAGTTACTTGGGACCAGTTATCACACATAGTTTTAAGACACAGACAACTTAATAAAACAAAATGGAAATTACTAAGAACAATTTTTAGTCTAGTTTATAATATAGAAATGGGAAAAAAAGACATAATAATTATTTACAAAAAAAACAATGGAAAACCCCAATATACACTTATATAGCATAAGGGAAAGGTTAGGTTTGGTCATGTTTACAGAGACGGTACTAAAAATTAAATAAGTATTAGAAAGATAAAAGAAGATAGATACCGATGGATTAGGATAGTGGTAGCAAGGATAGGACTCCAAAACCTACTAATCTACTATTTTTTAAGTAGATAATATACCTATATGATGTACCTACACTAACATAATATTTGGTTTTAAAACACTTACAATATACACTTTTTCAGAAATTCTTTGGTACTCAACATCCAGGCGTCCCAATAGCTATCTATGAGCATAGACATTTCTTCAACTCAATTTAGTCAGATGTACTCTTTAGTGAATCCACGTGAAGTTGTAAATGATTTATTATCTAGAGATACTGATGATGTGCATGTTTCTAAAACAAATTTAATTATTTCATTAAATACAAGGATAATACAAGGATAACCAATATAAATATGATGACATAGTTTATAAACCATGATGTTATAATGGTAAGTCTAAAAAAAAAATAGATGGCAAAATAGTTGTGTATTTTTTTAAAACACTGTAAATTAAATAAGTATAATACATTAACTCACTTTTACTTAATCTATATATAATATATAATAAAGTGTCTGTTTGTTAATCTGTATGCTGCATACAGCAAATTCTTTAGCATGTAGAGATCTGATAGTAAGCAATTTATTTGGAATACAAAAAAAGTGCCACTTTAAAAACATTTGGGTCAACAAGGTTAACTGTGATGAGAGGAGTAATAAGTAAATATGTTATTTTGAGGGTCAATACTGTGCGCGAGAAAGCTTATATTATAATAAAATAAAATTAGATTTTTTTAATTTTATCCAATCAAGTAATTGGATAATATTTAGTTAACACCTACTGAATACAGCTGAATTAATTATGCATGGATAAATTAAGTAAGTTGAATAATTTAGATCAGATCTTGTAAGTGTTCAACTGTGTGTAATTGCGAAAAAATCGTTTAGCATTCTGTTGTAATCTTCATCTTGAGACTAGGAGTACATTTGCAAATGCCAACTAATGGGAATGTTGTATAATATTATAATACCAGATGCGCCAGGTAACCAGGCCAATTACATAATAACACGGAATGACTTGTGATAGTAGGTAAGTACGTTTATTGAATGCGAGAAAAAATTAAAAGAACAATTATTATTATTTAAAAGCATAAACTTACCAAAACGAGAACGTGTATACGAATACGGAATGTAATAATGGCTTAGGTAGGCATGTCACTGTACCAATCAAATATCCGCGACACAAAATATGCGTGCGAGACCGAATTGGTTGTTCGCTGTTTTAGCGACGCACCCGTGGTTGAAATATACTTCAATCATCTTGAAATCATCTTGTGTAGACGCACCTACAAAATACAATAAGGTTTAGAACGCATAAAAGTTGTAACGGTGGCCAAATCTATTACCATAAGAAGAACAATGAACGAAAAATGAAAGCTACAGAGCCGAAAACGAAAACGCCAAGTAGAAACTTGACAAAGAGTTAGGCCTAATGGCTGTTGAAATGTTAAATGCTCAGCTTGGCATTATATTATCATAATAAAAATGTACGAAATTAAGTGTAGCCAACCTAACATAAAATAACGAGGCTGATTACAGCTGAATCATACGCTGTACGCATAGATAAATGATCATATGGTGTTTGGTTATAACCACGTTCACGAATTAAGATATCTTAAATCGCGGTTAAAAATCTTCATATTATGTCCATTCAAGATTAAACTACATAGGCGGCGTTTAGGGGGTACCATAGAGACCATGTCCCCTAGTTATTTTGTTTAATTGTACGCGTAAATATATTTTTTTTCAAACTATATATGGGAATATATTTATGTAAATATTATATGTATTGAAAAATATTGCCCTCCCGTCCACCCCTTAGGCTAAGAACCAAATCCGCCACTACTAAAGTGTGTGCTGGTATAAATATTTTATAAAGTAAATATATTACATAAAATAAATAAATATTTGTTTGTAATAAAACTGTGTACTATCATATACAAATTTCACCATGTAAAGAGTGATCGTCTCTATATCGTGTATTGTTCACTGTAGATAATATCTAGGGGATTTGGTTAACCCCCTACCCCCCTCAACAAAGCTACGGCCCTAATAGACACAATAAATAGGAGGCTAATGATATAACACTTTAATTTAAGTTAGCCTTGACGAGGAGATGGGGAAGTTTAAATAGTATTAATTACTCAAAAAGCTATACTTGCATTCACGGCTAATGTACATAATTTATTTAACCATAAATCATCTTGATATTTTGAAGAGCAGTAAAGGCCATATCTTAATTGTAATCGGTTTTTTGTATCACTATCAGCAAATATTTCAGGAAATTCTATGCAATTAAGTTTATTAGTTGAACTTTGGGACTCGTTATGACCCTAGTAGAATATGCCTTCTTTAGCTAAAAAAAGAATAGTCTTAAACAAAATATGATTACGTATTTTCATCTACCGGTTACTATAAGGTTATTAACTGAATTTTATTTTATTGTATTGGATCAATCGCAACACAATTATTATGTATTTATTATTGATTAATCTATCATTAGTTTTTGGAATTTTTTTTTTTCGTAGCGCTATTGCGCGGTCTGTGCCGTAGTTCCTAGTGTCCTACTATCAAAAATATTATGATATAAAATTTTAGGTACGCAAATGTATACCTAGCGTACCACACACCTCTAAAACAAATGGTTTATGAAGAAAATATATAAAGGAACAAATATTTAGTAATAAATTAATGAACATTTGTTCTACAAAATACTTCTTCCGCGTTTTATAAATTATGTATGTAACAAAAGTCAATTGGAAAATATATTTGCCGAATATAGGTCTATTGGATCAAATGTTTGTGGTACAAATATATTGTGCAACAAATATTTTGAGGTTAGTGAACATTTCTTCCAAAATCGTTTGTTTCTATGACGATTGCTTCCAATGACATTTATTCCCAAAAAATACTTTTTCTACGTTTTATTCGTGGAACAAAATATTTTTCGGTATAAATGTCCAGTGGAAGAAATTTTTGCGGAACAGAACAAATATTTTTGGAATAAATGGTAAAATGTAGAACAAAGTCCGTCGGTACAAAAGTATTGTGAAACAAACGGGTCACATCCACTTTGTATCTGGTGTTTTGATTTAAATTTGTCAAAATCATAAAAGAATAATAAAATTGTTCCAAATCATGATATGCCATAATTTTCCAATGTAACAATTCGGAATGATAAAATTCTAGAACGTAATATTCCGAAATGTCAAATTTTCATATGTAAGTAAAAATTAATGGTTCCAAAATTAATTTTTAATCCACCGGTCTTTTCTCTTCGCCTAAACCTTTTGATCTAAAGCGATTATCTTCCCTGACTATTTTGCGGAAAACGGTCGATTATTGGTCGTCGGACAATTGGTCTCCACGAAAAAAACATGGTATGCGGACAATCGGTCCCCGTCATAATTTTATACACGGACAATTGGTCCCATGGAAATTTTATTTTCACATTTTTGAATTAGATAACTAACATATCGGAATCATTCAACAATAAATTGCAACATATTGTCCAGATTAAACAACCAAGTATTTTTCTGTTTATTGAATCTACACAAATAATTAATTCAGCAACGATATCGTTTACTAAGAACAATGAAAATGTATTTTAAAATAATTTGTATGAAACCTATATGTGAAAAAAAACAATTTTATTATTGATTTGTAATACTTTTAATATTAGTTTTTCAAACGATGAATTTTTAAACTATAAGTGTAGTCTAAGTTTCAATATTAAACATTAATTATTTTTTCCCTTATTATTATTTAAATTATACATTGATCGAATAGATTTTTTGCTAATATTTTTAATTTTTACACACATCGAATATTGTCTAATCATTTGATTTTTAGTTTCGTGATTTTCTATCTATGGATAATAACTTAAATACTTTTGAAATTGTCCTCTTTACTCCTTCAGAGTTTGCTTTTTTTTAAATCTTACATGCCTATTTAAGTATTAAAAATATTGGACATATTTAATATATTACAAACGTCTTAAATGTACTATAATGCAATTTTTTAATGGTTTACTGAAGCTGAAGCCTTTTTACCAGTAGCCTGTCAGTAAGATCTACTCCCGAAAAACCTGATTTAAAATCTTAGTTTTTAGGGTGGTTTCTGTTAGAAAATTGTGTGTAGTTGATGTATTAATATCGTGTTTCGACTTTCTTTGTGGTTTTCTTAATACGAGTAATTCGGAAGAAAGTTGAAAAACCGAAGATATTTATTAAAGATTTATGATTTTTTTTTTTTTGTAATTATTATATTAGTATTCCTAATCATGACATAATTTTCTATGAAATTTTCAAAATTTTATCTTTTTAGTTCTTATATGGAAGTCTATTTAACTGCTCCCCACTTTCAAAATGTTAGTTTTAAACTATGTTAAACGTTTTTACAGAAATGTGCACTTAGTCCTGTCATTCGTGCACAGAAACTTACAGCGTTACTCCAAAAAACAAATTGAGAGGGGAGCTTTACTAATCGTTTGTGCAGAAACGATCAGCCGGTCAAGTCGTATGAATGTTAAATTATTTCACTATTGTCTAAATATCCATACAAATTCCGATACCCGTATTAATACATACCTTACTATATGTAAATATATAATGTGTACTGTGTAATTGTTAGTTGGAAACACTCTATAACACTGCACTAACAAACTTTGTTATACACTTATTAATGTTTATATTATACACTTATTGAATGCGTCCCCTGTAGATTGCGACGATCCATTATTTTATTTTCTTACTCCCTTTTGTATATGTGGCAGTCCCGTTTCCAATGACCTAATTTCTTGCAATGATTGTATTTTCCAGTTTTTTTGTTACCAGTTTTGTTTGGATATTTTTTGATTTTTAAATATCTTACCACCCTTTGCTGTAAAAGCATCTTCATGAACTCTTATCGTTGTAGTTGCCTTACTTTTTCCACCATAAGTTTTGATGATAGATTTGATAAAGTTTTGGCCTCATTTGACCCATGCACTATAGAAGTATTTGTCTCAGGTCAATAATTTGACTATAGTCAGTCACAAGGCAGTGTAGAACAAGTTAACCAAGATGTTGAAAATATATTATATGTATTTTAAAACAGCTATATGCACATTACCAATTTACTACTTGTTCCGAAAACCTTATATCATTAAGCGATGATATTATAGCTTAATGTTCTTCAAGAAAAACAAATTTATCTACGATCTGCAACAACAGAAAAAACAATTGGAAATGGACAAGGTTTTTTTTAAATGTACTTGTATCACTAAATGCACCTCTAATTGATGAATATGTCATAAGGATGGTGTTTTTTTCAATTCAAAATGTCACCAAAATCAATTGTGTACTGATTTTGATAAATAATGTAGGGTAGTATAATTATAATTTTAATGTAATGTAAAAAATTATAAACAAAAATGTATAAATTATGACTAAGATTGCTTAAAAACCAATCTTGTATAAAATATTTTTTTTTTTTTTTAGAAAATATAAGTAATATAATAATTATTTGTTTACCCACTTTAACTAGTTATTCTATGCATTTTCTAGATAAAGTATTTATATAATTTGAATGTTAACACTTTAACTAGAACATTAAATTATTATTAAATAATAAGTTAAATTATAAAATAATTGGTTCAATACATTAACGGTACATATATAAAATATAAATAAATATTACACACATTCATGAATAAAATACAACATTTCTGCATAGTGACATAATATGTAATTTGATCATTAAACAAATAATTTACAAAATATTTTACAGAAATACAAATCATTGATAAACATAAAATTAATATAACAATGAAAATAAAAATACATATGTACTGCAGTAAACATTAAGCATGAAGTTTCCACAATTTGTATTAATTATATTGTATACAATTTATACAATATTCCATATGTATTATTTAAATAATTGTAATTTAATTAACAACTAAACATACTAACTAAACATACTAACTAACATTTCTTTGAAAAACATAATTGTATTACAATTTTTAAAAAACATTAAATTTATTCATATATTTTAATATGAACCATGACCCATAGTGCAGATAGTTACAAGAATTTAATGAAATTTTAATAAACTTAAATTACCATACTAGAAAATAAAAAAATGCAATATGATTAATAAATTATGATTTCTCAAAATTTAGTTAAATGGTTTAATTTTAGTAATCTAATAAGGTGAATCTAACAGGATTATGATGGTAGTGAACTGTAACCAAACTAATATAGTAAATAATTATTTCAGTAGTACAACGTTATCTACAATAATTATCAATTGCCTAGTGATTTATACTTGTCATGTTTCTAAATATTTATAGATATTTAAAACTATTATTTACCTATATTAAAATGTACCTATTTTTATTTTGTGGTCATAATAATCTTCTACTAAGAGGTCATCATGACAACTGTCAATCTAGTGAAAACCATGGTACTTTTTCTATATTGAAAAACAAATATGAAAATATTAAACGCAATGTTAAGAAACAGTATGCTGACGAAAAAACATATTATCGAGGAATTGGGGGGAGGATCAGCAAAATCATTTCCACAAACAGCTATAGCTACAACAATCGGATAGTTATTACAGACTAAAATGACAGGAGAGATACCACTACATGATTGTGATCTCTGGAAAAATAAACCAATGACTCAACAAAATATTGGAAACATTAGTGAAGACGAGGATGAACATATTATTACAATAACCGAATTTGAAGATTTAAAATGTTGACGATTTTATTAGTAAAAACTACTAAAGACACTTGACGTAACATATAATTATTAAAATTAGATAACAGTCATCTACAACCGTGATAATAGCCGAAAAATTAACCAATCAGAGTTTAACCGGCCTCTGATGGGCGGTTAACTTAACCGACCTTTAATCACTGATTAATGAGTTAACCGGCACTGTACAACAAGCAGAAGGTCTAAATCATTGATTATAGTTTAATCACGGTTTAACCGTGCACTGTACAACTGGCCCATAGTGTTATCTAACCATTCCAATACCAAAAAAAGAAGACATTGTTTTGTTTAAATAGGCAAACAAGTGCCATTTGCCTTTAATATAATGCGAAACTGTGCTTTGTAGTAGATAGAAACTGTTTTAATTTCACTAAACATAATAATTTGAAGGTTTATTGTATTAATTGAAAGTTAAAATCATTTATTATTATGATATTATGTTGTAATAGATAAATTGTGTATGTGTGTAATAATAATAGGTTTTAAATAAATATCTTAAATTTAGATCTTATAATATAGTTTGTAGATTAAAAATATAACAAATATTGATCATGTATCTTAAAGGATACACATGCAAAACAGGCCTTAACATTTTGTGTGGAGCATGTTTTTAAGTTCAATGACCTTAAATTATCTAGAAAAATCTTATTTAAAAATTATGTATTCCTTTTTTCACTTAGTTAACATTTAAAACGTTAAAAGGTAAAAAACTTAAAAAGTCTACTCAACAATAATTTTTTTTTAAAAAGAAATATTGATAAATATTAGGTTATTTTATTATTGTTATAAATAAGAGACAAAATGTATATTATATATACCACATAACCACACAGGCTGCTAACCTAACGTGCACAACTAATAAAACATGTATTCAAACAGACATCTGGCTGGACAATGATATAGATATTCAATTTTAAGGAGAATCTCTGTAAATACATCGATTCAAGGGCGAGAAGTGACAATTATGGACGCATCCGAAAAAATCAATGCATTTGTAAGTAAAATTCCCTTGTGGAAAAGAAGATTACAGTCAGAAAACTTAGCAAACTTTCCAAAAATTGACCACGAACTTTCACAAAATAATATTGTTTTATCTGGTTCTATGTGTACATAAATTTGTGAACACCTTGACGTTCTTGAAAATTCATTTGGTGATTATTTCAATTCTTCATCTTCAAAATCAGAAATCTGGATACGCAATCCTTTTATTGTTGACTTAAATACTATTGATGATTCAGATCTTGTTAAAGATNATGACACGGCAAGATTTTCAAACAAAAAATTTAATCGAATTTTGGTGTTCATTGACAAAGGCTTATCCGCTGGCTGTATCCAGGGCAGTGAAATTTTTGATTCCATTTGCCACTACATATCTCTATGAGTCGGGATTTTCTTCAATGGTTACAATCAAAACAAAATCACGAAACCGATTAGATATTAAAAATGATATGCGTATTGCTCTGTCTAAAACTGTTGATGCTGCGCTAAATTTCACACATCTTCGTCTTGCACCAAATCCACAGATCAACCTTCAACGTGCGCTCTCTGTGGAGGAAGTCATCCAGCAAATTACCGCGGATGTACTGTTCACAAAGACCTACAGAAATATCTCCTCCGGGGACTATTTACTGGCCTTCCCACCAAAACCAGCACCCGATATTTAAGATTATTTTTTTTAACCACAATCCCAAGACACATTACTCATTCCATAAAAAATCTAGCAGATCCAGAATGTGACCACAGTCTAGTTCTTCTCAATCTGAATTGTGAGATTTACTACAATCCTCCTCGTCCTTCCTTAGCGAAAGGACCAGTCAATTGGAGTTCCTTTTCAAAAAATCTAGAAAATGCCACTAACCTAAAAATCTCACTCTAATCAACCGACCAAATCGATGAAGCAGCGCAAAATCTAACGACCTCAATTCAAACCGCCGTTTATAAAGCATCGTATGTCACAAATACATCTGACAAACAACTCAAAATGTAATATCCTTCCTCCCCAAATCCAAAAATTAATAGTAAAAAAGAGAAGGGTTCGCTCGTTGTGGCAAAGATCCAACCTGCTTCTGACAAACGACTATTAAACAATCTATCAAATTTAATCAAAAAACTTATTATAAAACACAAATCCAACTTTTTCCAAGAAAAATTTCAATCACTAAATTCTAATGACGATTCTCTATGGAGAACTACCAAAAATATTCTTAAAATCAAAGAACAAGCTACACCGCTCACTGATTCAAACGGAGAGCTAGCGATCTCTGACAAAGATAAAGCGAAACTTTTTGGAACCCATCTCTCAAATATATTTATGCCACATTCTAATGTTAATCCTGAATCTGCACACCTCGAAATAACAAACCACATTGCCTTTTCCCTAAAAAAATTATCACTAACCTATGCCTGCTACATTCCCGNATTCAAAACAGACAACCCTCAACTATTAATTATCGCCGATCAAAATTACGCAAACAGTTTTACACCAAAACAAATCACACCATTCAATACTGACCTACTGTTCTACATTAATACCAAATTTATATATCTCGAATTCACAGTTAAAAGAACGACAACCAAGTTATACGCAGACTTAACCAACAAGCAATGTGAATTTGAGAAACAATTATTACTTCAAAAGCTTTCTCTCGCATCATACTTACAATTTGGTTTCAGGACATCCCATTCGACAACACATCAAAATACACAGAATTACTGATAAAATTGTACGTAAGAAATGAAACCCTGCACAATGATTTAAGAATTCCAACAGTTGACCAACTAGCTAAATTATACTATAACAAATTTCACTCCAAATTTCAACTCCATTCCAATCCTTTAGTCACTCATCTAGCATCACGTACTCTTCCTAACAACCCACCACGCAGACTCAAAAGAAATTGGTGCCGTGACCTATTAAATTAATGAACAAAAAAATAAATTACTAGAGGGTACCATCGCTGGATGATTTTCCTCATCATGTGCTTCATGTATATATATTTTTTTTTTTTGTATATAGTGTTATATCAGTCATATATTTTACTTATTGTCATGTAATACAGATTGTAAATTTTCTAATAAAAAAAAAAAAAAAAAAAGTCTTATTTTAATAAAAAATTATAAATTCAAGAATACTGGTCAACAGATCCATTATCACATCAACCTATTTTCCTAATATATATATGAGCCATGATAAATACCAGATTTTATTAAGATTTCTTAACTTTAGTAACAATACAAATCAAATACGTGGAAACAAATTATCAAGAATCTTTATATGAAATCACAACAAAAAATTCAAAGAAGCTATGATAACCTTTGAGAACCTGACATTGATGAATGCCTTGTACTCTGGAAATGACACTTATTAATAAAAACAAATTGGAAAAATCAAAGCAGGAGTTTTATTGTTTGTTATTTATTTATTTTTTATTATTATTATTGAATATTTTAATACTGCGTTAATAAATTCAAATAATATAAGTAATATTATATAAACCACACACAGGCTGCTTACTTAACGTGCACAACTAATAAAGCATGTATTCAGATAAAATTTAAAATAAACAAATTTAATTATCCATATAGAAAATTAAGAATACAAATTAAATCAAGTTTGAGATCAACTGCTATATAATGTATTTAGCACAATACATTAGCGAAGTGGATAATCAAGTACATAGGTTACCGATAAATGTAACTTAATTCCTTCGAAGGTTAGGTAAGATTAGGAAAAACGGGCACGTGAGCAACCTGCGAGCAGCCCAAATAAAGGGACTTTGGTGGCGCAGTTTAGTGTGTACCGTTCGCAACATACTTTTTTAATAGGAAATCAAGAAGATTAAAGTTTGCTGAAGGTATAACATACACATGAAAGTATACACACAAGTGTGCATAAAGTTTATTTTTTTTTAATTTTATTTTCTCATGTACCTAATTTTAAGTTTCAAATTTTGTATGCAACATTTATTTTTTTTTCGATAAATTTCATGTTTTCGCATATTTTAAAAATATTTCAATGCATACTTTCCGCTTATTATGATGTTTTTTAATGCATATATATGCGCATATTTGAGTACTTTTTAGCGCATAAAGTTCCGAGCCTTGGTTATTACGATTCTCTGTGTACACAACGGCGGACTGTGACCGCCCGCGATAGCGACGTGAAACGACGCATGCCGACTGCAGCAGCAGCCAAACGCAAACAGCGTTGCGACCACCCAGGCCAGCTCCGCGATTTTTTCCAAATTTATTTGAAAGTGTAGTTTCGCCGGCCGTACTATAGGTGTTACAGAATTAGTCGGAAATCATTAAAATTGTTAAGACTATTAAGATTATTTTTATTTAGTTTCAAGAGTGTTCGGGAGCGTAGCACCGTCTACGAGTATGAAAACCCGGCGTTATCGTGTCGTCGAATATTCTTAAACCATAATGACCAATATTTATATCTCGTCGAGATTCAGTGTTGATGAGTTTAAACAATGTTATATTAGGTATATAATTCACACAGACTGCTCATCTAACGTGCACAACTAATGAAGCATGTATTATTAGACTTTGTCCAGCTGGACGGTATTATTGATAAAGGTATTCCATTTTTAACAATTATACTCAACTAAACGTAATTATTTAACTAAAAAAAATGCCAATACAATCAGCTAAACATAGTATATCGTATGTACCTACAAACAAAGAGAATAGTACGGTACACAATGTATTACCCGAAGGACAATAATATGTGTAGTGACATGGTGCGGATTGTTCATTTAGTATAATAGCATACGGTTTATATATGAAGCACACGTTTACCACTACCATAAGCCACGAATGGTTAACAAAATACTTGTCACCAGATCTCTCAATTTCTAAACTAATATAAAATGTACTTACAAAAGTATAAACCTAAGTTCAAATATAGTTTCTTTGCTAAATATTTTTTAACAATTTTCAATATATCTTTCGGTCAACCTAGAACCGATACATGTCAACATATGACAGATTAAAAAATGCTATTGAATCAGACCAAAACACGTTGATGAAATAGCATCTCTTAAAATGGAAAAAGAACTACATTTAAGAAAAGCTGAGGTATTTTATGTGAATTTGAGACAGTTAACTCTCAAGCTAAAGAATGTGACAGTATTGATGTATTATGGTTTGACAATCAACAAAACATACATGCCACTGCCACATACCTTCTGGTGATATCTTCTATAAGAAGCAATTATGGTGTTATAACTGATTTTATTCTAGATATTCTAATATATACAGGAATTAAAAAACATCACAAGTTCTTCATTGATAATTGATATTCCTCAAACTTTTTAGACTTTAAAATATGGTTCAATTCAACTAAATAAGTCATTTAGGAATATAAAAAAAAAAAAAACTCAAAATTAATTCAGCAAAGATGAGTATTTTGAAAAAAAAAAATTTAGCAATGAAAAGGTTAATACTAAGTTAAGTGAGTTTACATAATATCTATACAAACTACATAGATTGCTAACCTAACGTGCACAACTAATAAAACATGTATTCAAACAAACGTCCGTCTGGAATATATTATAGGTATTCAACAAAATAAGTGATATTCCAACAGATATACACAAAAACCCTATCTTGAAAACTAAGAACATCAATAAAATCAAATTAGTTTAAGATTAGATACTATTTTTATTGTATTGCATATAAATGAGTTAAAATTATATTGACGACGGTCCCTCATATAGACGACTAGAATATTTAACGTCCTAGTAAAAAAATTAAATAATCTAGTTAAAAGACCATCAAGTTCACCATTGTGTCATATAGGGTGTTCCCACAGTGTTTTAAAAATGTTAATAACTTTCTTAATAACAAATAACTTTTATTATCATCCCCTTATAACTAGAAACATTTAATTTGTTCTTATTTCACAATATTCAAAATAGTCTATTTGTATAGAATAATATTCATTAAAAGTAAATAGTAAAAGTCAATATTAGTTTTGACATATCCCTTAAATTTAATGATAAATAATATGTGATCTTTATTGTAAAATTCATTGATTTCTTAACAAATTGTCTCTTAATAAATTAAATTTTCAATGATAAAGCAAGAAAGATACATTATTTTTTTTATAATTTACAAATACCGCTTCGTTTTTGGTTTTTCACAATTATAATATGTTGTAAACAGCATAAAACACACAGCCTACTTAACTATCGTGACACAAAAAATTAGGCATGGCGAATACATTAAATACAAATTATTTCATAAGAATCGAAAATTCAAAAAGGATAATGAAACCTATGGACTCAAATTAGAGCACTCAGGAAGTTTTCTACCATCAGAAGTGATAAATTTTCATTATCAAGTGATACATATTTACCTGTACCAGGATTTTAGAATACATTGATCCTTATCAGTTTTATTACAATATGGAAAACCAATATTTAACAGTTCTTAAACATTTGTACATAAAACTGATAAGATACATTCAAAATACTCTGCCTACATACTTAACGTGCACAATGAATACGTGAAAGTAAAATACGTATTATAAATATATTTTTTTTACATTTTTACAATCATTTTATTTGATAAAAAAGCAAATACCAATATTGTCTTTATACTTGTATCACAAGGTAATACAATATTAATGTAATTATGATTTCCTATTTAATTCATAAAACTATATATATATATATATATATATATTTTAGATAGCTTGCATCTAAAATTAAAAAATGTTTTCAAAAGTGGGCCAATGATTATCCCACTATGAGGTTACTTGAACCACCTCCGAATATCCTTATATATTTCTCCGTTCCCATCAACTACTTTCGATAATATCTGATTCACTTGAGGAAGACAACGCAGCTTTCATTTTCCTCTTCTTTTCGGTCGAGGTTTTTTTAATGAAAGTCCCGGTCTATCACCTGATTTTTTAAGATCTTCAATTGAAATACGATTGCTGAGTGATACTTGTAGTTTTTTTTACAAATTAAATTTATATTCTAAAATCGCGTTTCGATCACTGCTTTATATGGGTTCGTACGTATCCCTCTTATGTGAGGTGCATATGGGCACGTAACACAAGCCATGAGCTTTGAAATAAATAGAAAATGTGTAATTATATAATTATTTTATGAAAACCTTTGGAAACTGAAGGCATTCAAACTTAAGAACACCACCAAACTATTCAAACTTGTTTATTTATTTATTATTATTATTAATATATATATATATATATATATATCATGTATATGTGAATCTATGTAAATATATGTAAATCAGATACTATCCAAAATTGTGGATGGAAACGAGAAATAGTTAAGGATATTTGAAGATGGGTTCAAGTAACCTGATAGTGGGATAATCATTCGTCCACAGAAGGCATGTCTGAACCTACACATTTGTGACATTTTTTATTTTGATTNACGTATCCCTCTTATGTGAGGTGCATATGGGCACGTAACACAAGCCATGAGCTTTGAAATAAATAGAAAATGTGTAATTATATAATTATTTTATGAAAACCTTTGGAAACTGAAGGCATTCAAACTTAAGAACACCACCAAACTATTCAAACTTGTTTATTTATTTATTATTATTATTAATATATATATATATATATATATATCATGTATATGTGAATCTATGTAAATATATGTAAATCAGATACTATCCAAAATTGTGGATGGAAACGAGAAATAGTTAAGGATATTTGAAGATGGGTTCAAGTAACCTGATAGTGGGATAATCATTCGTCCACTTTTGAAAAATTTTTTAAAAATTAAAAAATTAAATATTTAAAATTAGATTTTGCAGAAGGCATGTCTGAACCTACACATTTGTGACATTTTTTATTTTGATTATTTCAGATGCAAGCTAGTTAAAATTGGCCAATATTGAAAAACGGTACAAAATTATCCCAGTTTACAGTACTACAATTAAAAAGTAAAGTTCCTTAAGAGCCTACTTAACTATCGTGCACATTGAATCTTCATGTCTGTGAAATAAAATAAAATGAAATTCAAAAATAAAATAAATAAATCAGATAAATGATTACCGTATTATAATAAATCTATGCCTAATATTCATATTATAAACCTAACAGGCTGCTAACCTAACGTGCACAACTAATACAACATGTGTTCAATTCAAACAGAACTTCATTCAATAAAATGTAAAAAGTTTTTAATTACATAATTTCATTACAATTGACTAATACATTATTACTGGTAATTATTAAAAGTATTCTAAGAATTAATTATATGTATAAAATACAATAACTGTGTTTTTGTAGAGATGTAATAGCATTAAATAGGTTATAATATGTCATAAGTAGTAATGATGAAAACTGTTTTCTCATCACAAAAAGTGTGGAATGATGTGTGGGTAATGTAAGCCACAATAAACACGGAAAAATATTTCATTGGAGATATTGCTATAACATAGTTGAGAAATACACAAAAATCAAAATACTAGATAACCAACTCAGATTCAAATTCAAGTTCAGAATTCGGAAAAAGTCAATTTCAAAAATAATTATAAAAATAATCATATAAAATCAAACTAGTATCAAAACTGAAACTATATATTAAAAAAAACTTTAAATATAACATATATGAAACCTGTACATAAAATAAAAGTATGCGAAAAGGTGGTTTATTGGAGGGATTAACAAACCAAATTATAAAGAAATGTAATTACCTTAACTATGTGAGGTTACCCACATTAAATGAATCTTATTTATGTGAAACAATTGCAAGGGAACCAACTAAATCAACACAAATTTTATAGTTTTTGATTTGATATCTAATTAGTTAGTATTAAACTATTAATGAATGGTCTCCATCATGTTTAAGAATATCAAGACTAGCCATAAACATGCAAAGCCGAAAACTATACAGACAACTCTTCAAATTTTTAATTCAATAATTATCTCTACTAATTGTTCAGTTTTTGCTAAAAAGGTTATCGGATAATGGGTGATTGTTTGGAGGACAAAGATATTGGCATAATAGAGGTGAATTTCATGATCCTTATATACAAAGCTATTGAATATAGAGAACTAAAATAATAAGGCAAAGATTTACAAATTTGATCATTAAATTTTCATACTCCAGTATTTGAATTGGGAGTGCATATTTAACAAATTTAATAAATATGTGATTTGGAAATCTTTTTTGAAACTGAAATTATCAATATAGTTACAGTTATACAGTGACAACAGTGGTTGCCAACAAATGTTAGTATATAAGTGTCAATGATGTCAATTAAAAAAAAATTAAGATCAATTTGATGATCACAGTCTTCTTTGATTCACAGATCTTTGTCCTCCAAACAACCACCTATTATTAGATAACTTGTTTAGCAAATATGGAACAATTATTACAGATAATTATTAAATAGTTCAAAAAGTATAATTACATTGGGCAGAACAGCTGCCCTTCTTGGAATGGTTTGAAGGGTAAAAGGGGTTAGGTTGAGTTTTGACGAAAATTAAATATTTGACAATATGAACTGATTCGTTATTTTTAAAATGAGAATACGGGATATCTTATTTTTATAAACAATATGAAGTTATGGGTAAAAGTAATAGGTTATGTTTTTTCCTTAAAACTGTGCAGTCTTTTATACACTTGTATAGGGTGTTTCATTAAGAACGCCGGATTTAATTTGCCCGGTATTTTTTGTTTTGTGTGTTGGCTGACCTGTCAATAAAACACTGTAAAGGTTGTAACAATAACATTTTGTTTTATTCATTTATCTTGATCGTTTCTAATTCTGTTTGTGACCATGGTGCGACTGAGTTTTCAAGAACGCGTTTTGGTTGTTAAGACTTTTTATTGCTATTGTGAAAGTTATGCCGAGACAGTGCGCCATCTTAGACAGATCATGGGTCGAAATGAGGCTCCGAATGAGTCAACACTTCGTCAATTGATTGTTAAGTTCAAAGAAACTAGCTTAGTGCAAGATGTCAAAACTTCGACAAGTCAACGCAGTCACTTTTGAACCGAGAAATGGTTTTTGAGTGTTTAGACCAGTCCAATGACATCTCTTCATCGACGATCACAACAGTTGGCGATACTGCTGAGTTCGTTACACCAAATCATGAAAAAAGATTTTCATTTACATCTATATAAACTCAAACTTACTCACAAGCTCAAAGCTGGTGATTATGGAAAACGCGGACAGTTCGTTGAGTGGTTTCACAATATGCAAGTTGATGATGTTGATTTTGCCAGCAAGATCATTTTTAGTGATGAAGCTCATTTTCATACGAATGGATTTGTAAACAAGCAAAACTGCAGACTTTGGGGGACAGAAAACCCACAACAAATTAAACAATGTCAAATGCATCCTGAACGAGTAACTGTATGGTGTGGCTTTTTAAGTCGAGGTGTTATTGGCCCATATTTTTTTCAAAATAAATATGAAAACACAATAACGGTAACCGGAAAACGTTAACAGAGTTTTTGTGACCAGTATACAATGATTTTGACAAAACCAATAAATGGTTCCAGCAGAACGGCGCCACTTCCCATACTGCTCGTGTGACAATCATTTTATTGCATGAAAAATTTGAAGGCCAACTTATTTCACGATGTGGTGATCAGAACTGGCCTCCCAGATGGTAGGAAACCTATGGATTCAAATTAGAGCACTCGGGAAGTTTTCTACCATCAGAAGTGATAAATTTTCATTATCAAGTGATACATATTTACCTGTACCAGGATTTTAGAATACATTGGTCCTTATCAGTTTTTTTACAATATGGAAAACCAATATTTAACAGTTCTTAAACATTTGTACATAAAACTGATAAGATACATTCAAAATACTCTGCCTACATACTTAACGTGCACAATGAATACGTGAAAGTAAAATACGTATTATAAATATATTTTTTTTACATTTTTACAATCATTTTATTTGATAAAAAAGCAAATACCAATATTGTCTTTATACTTGTATCACAAGGTAATACAATATTAATGTAATTATGATTTCCTATTTAATTCATAAAACTATATATATATATATATATATTTTAGATAGCTTGCATCTAAAAAATCAAAATAAAAAATGTCATAAATGTGTAGGTTCCAACATACCTTCTGCAAAATCTAATTTTTAATATTTAATTTTTTAATTTTTAAAAAATGTTTTCAAAAGTGGGCCAATGATTATCCCACTATGAGGTTACTTGAACCACCTCCGAATATCCTTATATATTTCTCCGTTCCCATCAACTACTTTCGATAATATCTGATTCACTTGAGGAAGACAACGCAGCTTTCATTTTCCTCTTCTTTTCGGTCGAGGTTTTTTTAATGAAAGTCCCGGTCTATCACCTGATTTTTTAAGATCTTCAATTGAAATACGATTGCTGAGTGATACTTGTAGTTTTTTTTACAAATTAAATTTATATTCTAAAATCGCGTTTCGATCACTGCTTTATATGGGTTCGTACGTATCCCTCTTATGTGAGGTGCATATGGGCACGTAACACAAGCCATGAGCTTTGAAATAAATAGAAAATGTGTAATTATATAATTATTTTATGAAAACCTTTGGAAACTGAAGGCATTCAAACTTAAGAACACCACCAAACTATTCAAACTTGTTTATTTATTTATTATTATTATTAATATATATATATATATATATCATGTATATGTGAATCTATGTAAATATATGTAAATCAGATACTATCCAAAATTGTGGATGGAAACGAGAAATAGTTAAGGATATTTGAAGATGGGTTCAAGTAACCTGATAGTGGGATAATCATTCGTCCACTTTTGAAAAATTTTTTAAAAATTAAAAAATTAAATATTTAAAATTAGATTTTGCAGAAGGCATGTCTGAACCTACACATTTGTGACATTTTTTATTTTGATTATTTCAGATGCAAGCTAGTTAAAATTGGCCAATATTGAAAAACGGTACAAAATTATCCCAGTTTACAGTACTACAATTAAAAAGTAAAGTTCCTTAAGAGCCTACTTAACTATCGTGCACATTGAATCTTCATGTCTGTGAAATAAAATAAAATGAAATTCAAAAATAAAATAAATAAATCAGATAAATGATTACCGTATTATAATAAATCTATGCCTAATATTCATATTATAAACCTAACAGGCTGCTAACCTAACGTGCACAACTAATACAACATGTGTTCAATTCAAACAGAACTTCATTCAATAAAATGTAAAAAGTTTTTAATTACATAATTTCATTACAATTGACTAATACATTATTACTGGTAATTATTAAAAGTATTCTAAGAATTAATTATATGTATAAAATACAATAACTGTGTTTTTGTAGAGATGTAATAGCATTAAATAGGTTATAATATGTCATAAGTAGTAATGATGAAAACTGTTTTCTCATCACAAAAAGTGTGGAATGATGTGTGGGTAATGTAAGCCACAATAAACACAGAAAAATATTTCATTGAAGTTATTGCTATAACATAGTTGAGAAGTACAATTTGTTAGAATAGATATTCATATATAATTCTAACAAATTAGATGAAAATGAAAATGATTACCATGGGGATGTGAGGAAGAATTGTAAATAAATGTCACTGATCAATGTACACGGACTTGAAAAAATGTATTCCACAAATTTGGAAAAATTCAGTCATATAGTTAGTTCACGCCTACATACAAGCTATACCTTCTAGCAGGCATAGCTCCACCTGAAATTAGAAGACGAGTAACCACCTACATAGAAAAAACCACACAGATAAAGGACGAAAGACATCCTATGTTCGGACATGAAATCACGAACTCAAGACTAAAATCTCGAAAAAGTTTCATACAAACAGCAAAAGAACTGCACGAATCCCCACAAAAAGCTAGATTGCAAAGGTGGCAAGATGAGCTACAACCGGAAGAACTGACTCAGGCTACACAACAACTTCCAATGGGTGGACACCTTCCATGGCCACTATGGAAAACTCTTAACAGATTGAAAGCCGGGGTGGCGAGGACTAAAGCCAACATGGTAAAATGGAAATTTAATGGAGAAGATGACACATTAGGCGACTGTGGAGAACGACAGACACCTGATGAACACCTTTTGTCATGTACCATGAGTCCAGCACAATGTACCAAGATCTAATCCTGACAAACACAAATGCAATAGAGGTGGCCGCTTACTGGTCGCAACACAGTATATAGACGTTACCAAAAATGTGATCTATTNGACGTACCAAATTGATTTATTGTATTTTATTTGTTTGTTTATTTTTTTTATTTATTTATTTTTTTTTTGTTTACTCCTTTTAATTTAATTGTTATTGGCATTTTTATTACCGGACACGACAAGAAGAAGTTCACACTAGGTAAATCATTTTTTATAATTTTACTGAAAAATTGATTTGAAAAATATAACTTAATGAAAACACTCCATACGTGCAAATTCATATCATCTTCTTAATTTAAAATTAAAATGATAACTACATTTTATTCCATCATAAATAATGAATAAAATATTTTAAACTCAATTTCAATAAAAAAAAAAAAATTAAGTCATAGTTCACTACCTGATTATAGATTTTCAAGGGGCCAAATCCTTTCCTATATATAATTACAATATTATAAGAAACTGTGTATTGATTATACATGTTAATTCAATTTTGTTGATTCTTTTTATATACAATATATAGGTTTTTAACCTTTTACAAATAGTAACCTGTTTTTTTTTTTTTTTTTTTCATAAATTATTACATTATAAGCAAGAGCATTTCCTTTAAAACAATACTTGCAAACCCTAGTTAAAAACCACTGACTAAGAGCACAATAAGAATAAACATGGCATTTTCTTTTAAAATTATTAATAACTTAGAACAGAGGTTCCCAAACTGTGGGTCGCGATTATATTTTTGGTGTGTCGTGCTATATTTTTAAATATTACATTTTTTAAACATCTATTACTTTTCATTGTTGTCCAAATTCAGTTTTATCATCAATCGTTATCTGTGAATGTGACGATTACCAGTTTACAGCGACCAAGTCAAAACGACACAATTAGATTAATAGTTATTGAAAAGATAATGATTTATCAGAACACACAAATTAGTAGGTATCTGTACGACGTTCAAAACTTTTAATTATTTTCAGTTACACGCGGTAAATTGAATACGTTACATATACGCAGTTGTATATTTAATATTATTTTTTCTCAAATAAATTTATTATCTTTGTACTTTTGTACAACTATGGACAAATGGTTAAACAAATAGTTAATGACTCAAAGTTAAGAAAAAACAGAAACAATATCTGCGTCAACAGTTAAAAAAAGAAAATTTAATAACGATGAGCCTTCAACATGTTCTTCTGAGTGGAAACAAAAAAATTCTTTAAGAAAATATTGTTCTGAATATTTGCGAATTGGATTTTCATGGAATGGAGACGAAGAACACACATGTCCACAATGTGTTATTTTTGGATGTATACTTGCAAATGAGAGTATGCGACCAAACAAACTACATTGACATATAGATATGAACCATCCAGAAATGAAGAATAAACCACTCAATTTTTATGGAAGAAAACTAGAATCTCTAAAAACATCAAAAACTAATATTTTTAATTTTACTGCAATTAACCAAAAAGCTACGTACGCTTCATATAAATTAAGTTAACTTATAAATTGCTCAAACTGGTAAGTCTCACACAATTGGTGTCTTTAATTTAACTATCAATAAAATACGTAGTCGGGATCATGTTTGATCAAAAAAGTTTAAAAGAAGTTGAAAAGTTATTGCTTTCAAATAATACAGTTCCACGTAGAATCGACGAAATTTCTGAATGGGTAGAATATAAACTGATCGAAAGAATTAATTTGAGTACATGGTTCTCATTACAACTAGATGAGTCCATTGATATGCAAGGCTTATCTCAGATGATTGTTTTTGTACGTTACATATGGATGAATCGAGGTGATAAATGTCAGTAAAAAAGTCATTCATGATATTGTGGGTCGCCAAATTTTAAAAATTTCTCAAAATGGGTCATACAATAAAAAGTTTGGGAACCTCTGACTTAGAGCCTTTTATACAAATCATTTTAATGTGCATATTTGTAAAAAAAAAACTTTAAATGTTAATATTGTAAATATTACTTCACCAATTTGTGATTATGCTGTGAAATCAAAAATTTAATTGAACAATTTTTGATTTTGCTGACTACGAAGTTGTTTCCATATTGTGAAGTTTAGTTCAAAGCAGCCAATTAATAGTAGTGTTTCTGTCAATGAGGCCCAGTAAAAATTACAATAATATTGCATTTTCTTTTATTACTAAAACATTAACACAAAAATTTTGTTAAGCATTTAAAGGATTTCAAAACATTTTGATGTGAAAAGTTTGAATTGTCATTAACTTACTAGCAATAGATAACAAACACACTGGTTGTCAGATTGCTTAAGTACATAGATATGTTGCTAAATGATAAAACTGTTTACTAAATGAGTGAAACTTTGATGGTCAGGTACTTAGGAGCTCAGAAGTAAAGCCAAATATTAGGGTTTGATTTCCAGTCTAGCCGCCTGACTTAAATCACTATTTCCCAAAGTCAGCTTTGGAACTATTGTCATTATATTGTATAATTTCATGTTGAATTGACTCTGTTGATGTAAAAGGCTATCTAATTATTGTATAAGTCCAACAATTCTTTTGATAATCCTGATGAAAACTGGGTTTGGTGATAATTATGACTCATGTTATCAAAAACATAAAAAACCCTGTAGTGCATCAACAGCTAAAAATAATAATATTTGATATTAAATGTATTGATTATTTATTACTAATTACTAAATAAAATTGTCAAGTATATCATAAAAGTAGACGCAAGTAGATAGAAACAAACCAAACTTACAAGTAAAATAGACACATACACATTACACATTTGAAGAAATACAACTATAGAAATATTTAGAAAGCATACAGCAAAATAAATATGATTAAATAATATAAACAGAAAAATATGCGTGCTTTCATAAAAAATAAAAATATAAATGACTTAATGATATTTTACCCAACTTAAACTATTAAAATTATTATCCCGAGAAACAAAAAAAAAAAATTATACAAGTTATATGAAACCAGTTATCTAACGGTTTTTGGATTGTAAAACATGGCACCCAAACTTAACTTAATTAAAACAAAAAGAAATTACTACCTAAGAATATAGTTAAAGTTTATAATACTGAAACAAGGAAAAAGGACATAATATCAACTTACAAAATACCTATGGAAAATACAACATACTCTCATATAGGTAGTAGAAGTAATAAGTTAGAATGTTTTGGTCATGTTTAGTAGAGAGAAGGTAGGTTGAAAAAATTATTAAACAAATATTAGTAGAATCATCTGTAAAAGATCATTTGGAAAACCCCAGATAAAATAGGAGAAAATAGTTGTAAAAGATTTATAGAAGAATCGAGAGAAATCAATAATAAAATGATATTATTACTTTGTGAAATATGACAGATACCAATTATTAAATGGGGTAGTGAAGGTAAGGTAACTTCAAGGCTTATTAATTTTTTAAGGAAATAATATATATAATGTACACTAGCCTTAATATTTAGTTTTAAAACACTTACTATATACACTTTTTCAAACATTTTTGGATACTCATTAAGACAACCTTTGAGTTCCAATGACCATCCATCTATACAGATACTTCTCTATCTCTATACTGCAAGTATACTCTTAATTAAATCCATCTAAAAATGGAAATAATTTGTTATAATGAAGGTAACTGCTGATGTGTATGTTTCTAAAACAAATTTAAATATGTATTGTTAAGCAGAAGAATAACCAAAAAAGATATATGACAACACAGTTAATAAACTGTCATAATGTTAAGTAAAAAAGAAAAACTGGTAATTAGAGAAACCTTTTTGTTTTTTTTTAAAGCTGTAAATCTAATTTTTAAAATTTATAAAACTCATATTTATTCAATTTATATTGATTAAAAGAAATTATACCTAAAAGGTGACTGAGAAAAAGTTTTTGGCATTTTTAACACAAAAATGTAATTATTATTGATGATTGGTGTATGGGTATTATGATGTAAAAGGTTGTATGGGGTCAACAAAAAAACCCTTATATTAAAGAAAAAACCCTACATTTTTCCTTTCCCTCCATTATCTTATCAACATTCTGCAATCAAAAATTGTATTTTCCAATTTCCCGCAAATAAAAAAAAAGATCTTAAGATATTATCAAAAATGTTGAAAAATCAAAATTCTGACTTTTGTACTGATAAAAGTAAACCTTTGTGGTATTATTTCATAATATTTTTAAATTTAGTTTTGGCCACGAGAGTCGAGCAGTGTTGGTTTTTCCATGTCCGCAAACGAGTTCTTCTAAACCATTTTTACCTTTGCAGAAACGAGAAAAATACAAATTCAACCCATACTGTAACTCAAAAACTCTAAACATCTTGAACTAAATTCATATATTTTCAAATAACCAGAATCATAGAGAATCCATGTTTTGGAATGATACGTAAATACTTGGTTTTACAATAATAGACTGTATTTCCAAGCGTAGCAAGGGAGCTATTGGTTTTACAAAGATGTTTATTTCATTATTTAAAAAAAACCACTTAAGTGGGAAAAATCGTAAGAAAGTATACAATTTGACAATTTCGTTATTTTATAAAAACATTTTCTACAAAAAAGAATAACTTAATCAAAAGATAAAAATCACAAGATACCTTTTTTGTTACCTTTTTGATTTACTTTCTTACAGTATCATTGCCAAAACTTTTTAGCCACTTCTGAGCTTTTAAGGAGTTTTAATTTTTGGGAGTTTTTTTGCTCCAATTCAGTTATAAATAAATGTAAACTTGAAACTAGGTAATAATACTTATATTGAACTTGCCCAGACGTAATACAATTTTCAAAATGATCGGACTCCTTTTTTTTCTATTAAGCATTTTGAAATCAAATTTAAATGAAAATCGCAAAAAAAATTAGGGCACTTCAAATTATGTATTGCCAAACTACGCTAGGAATCGTCTTTCGTCAGCAATAGTTTATCTTTGCTCACAGATATAAATAAAATAACCTTATGTATTCTACCTTCGCAACTTCCCACCTACAAC